TTATTTCAGTCACAATTTAAAAAAAAACTATGAATTATTTTAATACTCCTACAAATTATGAGATTAAGGGTCTGTTGGTCTGTTTGGGGCAACTGTTTGGGGCAATTGCAGCTTATTGAATAATTTGTTGATAAGCTGATTAAAAATAATATGTTGATAAGTTAGGTGCGGTGGCTATTACAAATTTTTATTTTTTTTTGAAAAAGCTAGATTGCTGCCAGAAAGCTGACACCGCACCTAAATATGTGTGGTGTGATAACGTTGTTTTCAGCCTTTTAAAAACACATAAGCTGTCAAAACGCAGTTTACCCAAATAGATCAGATGAGTTTTCAAAACGCCACCGCACTAAATAAGCTGTCCCGAACGTACCCTAACTTGTTGAGATAATAAAGCGAAGTCATTGCCGTCAAAATTAGCTAAAGAGTTGCTAATTGCGAGAAAGTAGAGATTTTATACTGTGATGAGAGTTTTATAAATCACTTTCTTTCATAAGAAGTGAGACATTTGTGTTATATTTATCAAAGTCCAGAAGTTTCAATTATAAAAAAAATTGTTTTTTTAATTTTTTAGAAAGTAATGAAATTATGATATATAATAACAATTTGTAAAATAATGCCCACAAATATCCGAGTGATTTTCTCGTATAATTGAAATAAAAAATCATTACAAGAGTTCAGTAGTTCAAAAAAATCACCTAGACGGTTAATTTGTAAAAATCAATGTTTCAAGTTGTATGTAAGTAATTATGGCATAAAAATGAAGATTTACATACGTACCACTCAATTTCTATGTATTTTCTTATATAATCCCTAAAACTCAATTTTTACATATTTTCCACCTTATCTATGCGTAAAAATGTGTATTTCATCTTTTAAAAGTTATAGTGGCATTATATAAAATATCGGGGTGGTATAAATATAAAAAAGTAAAATTTAATTGTTAGACATGTAAATACATAGAAATGGGGTGGTTCTACAAGACTACAACTATAGCTAGTGGTGTAAACAAGCAAACTTTGGGTGAGCCAAATTCAATTTATTACAAGTCATTCTTTGTTCAATTATATTTAAATTAACCCAACAAATTAAGTCCATGTTCACCCCCTTCCTTAACAATGCAACTTCTTGGAGCACGTGTGAGGGTTTAATTTTTAAAAGAAATTACATTTTACTCATGAAAAATTTCGTGCATTGACATAACTTTCATGTGCTTACCTTTAAATGTACATTTTATTCTTCCTGTTTATTTTTTTAAGTAAATTTTAATTACTATTTTTATCTTTTAGTAAAGGATCATATATTATTAACCATCCTTTTAATTATACCTTCTATGTAGAGTCTATGTGTGTAGAATCAAACTTTTTGCACAATATGGATAAATTTATTATGTCCAAAACAGAGACTAATCTTCGCCTTTGATTCGAGATATTTGCTACAATCATCATGCATGATCCACCATTGAAAGTTCTTGATGGGATAATCTTTTGTTGTCTACCAACCCTCTAGTCTACTGGAGCATCTGATCTATTCTTAAATGCTCTCTGAGGGCACTATGATATCTTGTAGTCGGGCTGACCAAACTTGAAATAGTGCTCGAAGGATAAATAACGTTGACCGTGATGTCTTTTTTCTCATGAAGTACATATTGGAGCACTATTTTCTAAAATAGATGAATCGTAGCTTTCTTAAGTTTTAGAATCTCTCTCAGAGTCATAAGACTCAAATCGGCTCTTCTTCCCACTGCCACCACTTCTCAAAAACTCCTTTCCAATTCAATAATTTCTGGCTCACATTCATAATTTGTTGAGTTGACATTAGATCATTTTCAATCAATCTTGCCCTCTCCACCAATGCTTTAATATACTATAGTACGTAGCAATCCTTATAGGGACTCATTCTCCTGAACAGTTAGTATACCATTCAGCATGAGTGGCGGTTTACCTTAGCCCGACTAATTAGCAAGGCTTACGTCAGTCAGTTCCAGCACTCTTCGTTGTGACCTGGCGTAAGTTTGTTTTCTTTCATATTTTACCTTTTGTAGACTCCTGGTAAGGCCTGTAGGAGAGTGCAGAACCTCCACTACTACGTCAGATTGAACCTGCATGCTATTTCATGACTTCTTTTTTACATGTCATTGCATATTTGTCGTGTCGCGCGTCTTATCTATCTTTGTTGCATGCTTAGTGTATTATCCTCACTGTACCTAACGTCCTTTCTAGGAAGGAAGGTGGGTATCCCAAGAATGTTTACACAATCCCTTTGTGCCATATTTGTGGGGCAGATCACATTTTACATGAGTTTTATGACTCGTTGTATATTATTTGAGAATTTGCACTTGATGTACATAGGTGCTCCTTGTTGATTTTATAATTGAGATTTCTTTTCTGCTAAAACTATTGGTGGACTTGAATTTTGTTCACTAATCTTTTCATTATTTTATTACTAGTTGGATGTTCTTTAGAATTCATCTATAGGTCTTGTATCTTTTTAATAGTTTTTATCTGTAGAACTTCATTACGTAATTTTTATTCTGTTAGGCCTTTTATTGTATTCTTTTTTTTTTCTTTTCAATAAAAGCCAACATAACTTTCATTCCAGAAAAAAAAAAAAAAAAACCACTTCTTTTGGGATCACGATCACTCCCCATCACCTTACTCTATATTTAGGGGCATCAAAAAGGCTAACCTAAACTATTCAAAATGTTCTCCACCATTGGCTTAGACTATTCAATACTTATGATAATTTCTTATGGGTGCCATTAAAACCACTTAACATATAATCTTTATTGTAATAAAAATTAATTGGAAAACACAAATTTTTCTAATCGAATCAAACTTAACTCAAATGTATTTCACTTGTGTTTCAGGCTCGCTAGAGTCCCATTAAATGTAACCCATCAACAAAAAAAAAACATAAATAATAAATAAAATATTTTCTATTTAACATAAGCAAAATAATTAATTTTATGCTGCATACAGAGGATAAATTATGCTGGCTGTTAGATTAAAAATGATTTTTTTTAAAATAATCTTATTAAGCTTATCTATACAATTTATATCTAACTACTCCAAGTCAAATATCTCTTAGTTGAAAACCTAAGCTCCCAACCCAAAAAAAAAAATAATTAAGAGGAGCTCAAAAAAAGCTTAACCTACCGGTGTCACTCAATCTAAGCGTCGTCACCTAACCCATCAAAAGTATGTATATATATA